AGAGAATCACTCCACTATGTTCAGATTGTGAAACCTGTCGTGTTCCGAGCGCCATTTGCATAATTCATGCATGTGTGTGCGACCCTCAGTCATGTGCAGGCTCGTACTCTGAGATGCGCTAACTGCGTCTTATGGGACTGCTCCTGACACACAGCAAGTGCCCACTCAAGTTATGACGGAAGTTGTTGCTGGAAAAGATAATTTGTTTGTAAAGACAACTATGCGGTTGCTTCTAGAATTAAAAGCACATCGATCATTGGTGCAGTGACCGATGCAAACATCAGTGCAATCACTGGTGCATTGGAAGATCAGTTGTTGTGGACGATTTGCACGTCGCCACAAAACAACCTAGCATGAGCATAATTTGGGAATAAAATAACGAAATGTTTGCCTCGAGTTTGTTAACAACGCATTGTTGCCACATCACTGTTTCGGCATCACTGTCACGTTCCCGGCTGATAGCATGCTTACTTATTGTCACGGATGACAAACTGACAGTTGCGGACTCAGGAATCACTGCCAATGTCACGGTCAAAGTCTCATGTTCACGGTCTGACGGTTTCACGGCCCCTGACTCAAGGTTACGGTCTCACCAGTCTCTTGCAGTCACTGTCATGTGATCAGTGATCACACAGTCAGATTCCCAGTCACCGTTACAAACTGACTGGAGATACAGACACTGCTGTTATGATCATCATCAGCATCTATGAAGTCGCCTGAAGCTGTCGCTTCTGCGCCACGACGCTCCTAGGTATTACGACTCATAACTCACATCCCTATACGGATGTCATTCATTTGCCCGAGCTCACATTCTGATTGGCAAAGCCTCGCTCGTGTCATGGGAAATAAGCACCCTATGCAATGCGGCATCTGTCTGTCTGAGTGAATTGGAGCGAAAACCGATTCCGCCTGATCCATAAACTCCAGGAAACGTTCGTGAAACTGGGCCAGCCCATGTGCACTACGAGCGTGTGGATTATCACATTACAGCCATAAGTGTCAATATCTGATATTCTACAAAGGCATCCCATAATCTACAGTTGCTACGTAGGTACAAATAAGTCTAAACTTAATACATGTTCAGTCTGACTGTCTGTCTCATATCAGATAAGTTTTGATCGTGTACGAATACATTATGCATAATTTTCTATTTCTCAGAGTAACAGCCTGGTATCCTGCGCTCCCACTAACCCCGTTCTTCTTTCGCCACCGTCTGCGAACAGTTCTGACATCTCACATCTGAGTTCTGAGTCTGAGTTCCTGCTCCATCAGCGGGGAGAGCCGACCCGACTCCGGCTGATAAAAATTCTCCGGCCGGAGCCCCATCGAACCGCATAAAATCCGGCCACACTATGGGCAGAGGCGCCCCCAATGAACCCGACCACGAGGCTTAACTTTATTTCACATTTTTCCGGGGTGAGACCGCAGAAGTCGACTCTGGTCCGGGAGTTAACCACCTAGGAAGCTGCCAGGTCACGAGCGAACGATTTTTTTAGCCGCCCGCTCAGGTATCTAGCCGTATTTGGGGCTGACCTCTTCAGAGGCACGCCATCACTAACGCTGTTTAGCCGCCATCTGACAGCATCTCTGGTGATTTGTTTCCCTCAGCAGGACGTCAAAACGAGTTTCACGGCGGTTCTGTCTGCTGTCAGCCGGGGTCTGCCTCTGCCCCCGCTTCCTACCCCTCCTCCCCCACGACCCCGACCCGCACCAGACACATTAGCAGAGCAAACGACCACATTGACCGAGTTTCGAGAGCTGTTGGTTTCCGCCACCTGTTCGTGTTTTTGTGGGCGAGGTCACCTATCGGATATCGTTGACAGGCGACTGCTCTGTCAGCTTTGGCGAGTCGCTGAGTTGTGGGGTTGAAGAGTGCGCAATTTTGGATCGTGTTGTAGGTCAGATTATAAAAGTCAAAGTCACTCAGCTGAAGGAAGTGTGATGTGGTTTGGTATGCACCACACAGTTGCTGCTACAGTTATGGCTCAGCTCACTGTTGACTGTTTTATGCACTGCTGCCCACAGTAAACAATGAATTTACATGGAGCACCGTCGTAGACACTAACTTCTGCCATCATATTCGGTCAGGTCAATCAGAGGAACAGTGCTCAGCAAGTGAACAATGGCAGCTTATCTCTGTACTCACCGGTCACGTGACAGCAGTCCACCCCAAGCTCGGTACGGTCTCTGGTAAACGATTTTAAAACTTAACGACAAAGATGAGTAATATCAGCTGACATGGTGCATCAATAGAAGGAGGGCGTGGGCTTTGTCGTGTTAGTCTGAAAACAGTGGAACAGTGGTGTGCCGAAGTTGAGCGATGTCCGTCCACGCATCAAAGACGTGTCGTGCCGACCGGGGCAGTCGCTGTGACCTCCTGTTGAGACCGGCGGCAGGGACAGGCATTGTGGGGCGATCCGGATGCATCGCCCGTCACATCTTGCGTCTCGCTGCATTATATAGCTGACTGCAGGGCATTGGAAGTCCTAAAGGAGGCCCCTATTTGGCGTGGGCGCACGTTGAACGTCTCTGGAAAAAAATTGTGCTACCTTGTGATTTTTTTAGCTGCGAGCCCATATTTGTCATTCATAACATGACAAATTCATATCCATTTTACAGGTATTTTGTAACAAGTTTTATCTGAGCTGACACAGATTTCTTATGATAACTTCTATTTTTTTCATTATTTCATTATTTATCTCTCAAAACCACTGCCATTATTGCCACTGCCCTCATGTTTCGGGTCAAGCTTTACAGTGGCGGATCCAGGGGGGGGGGGCAAAATGGGCATTTGCCCCCCCCCCAACGGCATAATTTTAACAATACGCCTATGGACGAGGCATGGAAAGAATCGATAAATTAAATTGTTATGGTTTGCCCCCCCCCCCCCCCAAAAAAAACTCTGAGCTGGATCCGCCTCTGAAGCTTTACATACATGCATTGTCAGCTGCGTGCAGCTACGACTGTTCATAACTTTCCCTGCTCGTGATGTAGCTGCATGACAAAGTCACGAACTACAAGCCCGGTGAACGAACGAATCGGAATGCTTGCTCGTTCACGTGTGCCATGTTTTATGCACGAACTATTCACGATTATTCCATTCACCTCATTCAGACGGTAGGTAATCCATTTATTGCGTTCCATTTCACCAAAATGACAACGCTCGCTCGAATTGTGGCACTTTCCCCAAGCATTCTTCGTAAACGTATCAGTATGTAACCCCTCAGCAAATTGCCTTAACCAAATCGGATTTCGGCAGCTTGTCGCTGACTGGCGGCAATCCTCAATTCAATTTCTGTTACGACTTCAATAAAACGCTGCCAACGTTGCTGGATTTTCCAGCGGTTCTGGCGCTGACACGATCCCAACACTTCAGCGATGACGACTCAGCACCGCACTCCTCACGGCCCAGCGATCGCAGCCAACGCCCGCCGTGACAGTATCGCACCGTTCGCGTTGAGCGGCGCTGAGCGCTGCGCTAGCTTCGGCTGCCGGTGGGCGGCGCTGTTGACGGTGGGGTAGGCTGGGAGGGAGGGAGGGGAGGGGGAGGCGCGCCCGGTTCGCCCGCGGCCCCACGTGCGTCGACCGAGAGTCGTGGAGCGACGGTGGTGCGGACTGGTGCGGAGCGGCGCGCGGACACACTCGCGGGCGGTGTGGAGTAACTCGGGTGGTGATGTGTGGTGATGATGGTGGTTGTGGTGTTAAGCCGATGAGACAGTAGCGGGAACTTGAGTGGTGCTGAAAGGAGGCGGGATTTCGTCAGTGTAGACCAGGCACGTTGAGGTATGGCGGATGATACGCGGAAGTCAGATCCCCAAAGACGCCTGTTCTGTTGACATTGATAAATAGTGCTGATGTCGATTGCCGTGTTGCATCACTTGGATTTCCATGCATAATCTTGCAATGCAGCCTTGCTGTTGCGCCACTGCTGTTGATTTGTTAACCATTTGTCTTTCCACAGATCGTTGGCATAATTTATTATCGAGTCACTGGCACTGCACCTCTCGAATGCAATCGATTTAACCCTATTAGTGGCAGGCTCCTGGCTACCCCTATTAGTGGCAGGGGGGCTCTTTACGACCCCCCCTTGATATCTCGAGATCTAACGGGCCGATTTTCAAAATTCAAACGGCATTCGATTTCGCTCAACGTGATCTACATACATTTCTAAAAATAAAAATTAAAAAATGTCAATAGGGGGGGTAGAGGGGGGTAAAAACGGGCAAATTGCAGATACATTTTAGACTGTTTATCACGGCCAGGTTTCTGAACCAATCTTAACGCAACTTTTGCCGATCGATAGAGAATGAACCAGGAATTCACATGGATCCTAAAAATATGCATTTTCAAAAATCATAGGCGGATACAGATCATTGAGATTGGGGGTACACAAAAAGTATAGTAAATAAGGTTTTTGTTGGTACTGTTTCTAAAAAGAGTGGTAATGGTCTTGTTGTGTTACAATTTTCTTATGAGAGAACGACTACAATTGTATTGGTCATGCATAGGCGGTGTCAGGGCACCTATGTTGGGAGGTAAAACATAACCCCCCTTTTTGGACGCCTGGATCCGCCTATTATAGCAAAAACGTGTCAAAAGAGGATGCACAATAACTGTATATGTTATCACATGATACCTTTCATTCACTGTTCGTAAAACTGGTGCAGCATCGTGATCTTCGCCCAAATGACTCGCTTCACGAATAGGACCCCCCAATTCTCAGTGCTCTGGAGCCGCCCCTGGTAAAGTTATGAACTTGAAATTTTCAGGGAATGTGCCCAATTTAGTTTTAGGAAAAGTCAGAAAATTTCAGCATCGTAGCTTCAGCGGTTTCGGAGATATTCCCGAAAAACCTGAGGGGTGGATGAAAACAACCCCCCCTGCCACTAATAGGGTTAAAAACAGGAAGCCAATTCCATGCTTGTGCTCAGTGTCGCACATTATATCTCGTTATCAGCTGCGATCATCGTCATCAACCTAACACACGTCTCTTTTTCCAGGTTCTGCTGCGTTTGAACGCGTCATAAAAGCAGCTCCGTCAGCTTCTTTCTCGAGTAAGTTGCCGATCAAACGGCGGCGCGTGACCGCGAGCCCCCGGAGTCAGCTGTGAGGTGACCTTTGACGACCTTTGGTGCGACGCTGTCCCACGGGAGGCCAGTGGCGTTCGCCGTACGCGGCAGGCGGGACTCGGCTCCCCAAAGTGGTGCTGCTGCCAGTGAACGGTCGTGAACCAATGTCAAACGATTGGAACGTTCAGTGAAATCGGCGCGCAAGTCCCAGGAGGTGCTTCGTTGAGGTAAGCAGTGATCCCTTTGGGGACCCTCATAAACCCCGCACGTGTCAAACGACACGCTGCCCCAGGTCCTCTATGTCGTGACCTCTGTCGCTCTGATCGGGTACACTTAATGTACATATGTGTTTGGCTCGTATGTGTTTATGTTTTGTCGCTGCTCGACACTCTGTCATAAGAGGGACGGGACAGCCGTCATGCTGCTAATGCTGTGTTCGATTTGACGTGAGACGTGAGCAGGCTACTAACAATTGCTACGCGTGTTTTTAGTAGGACGTAACTACTTGATGTCTTTTTCATCACCAAAGTGCCGTTCCGATAAGATCACGGAAAATTCCATGCAACTAGAAGCGATTGCTTTCTCAAATCCCGACACTACCTCTAAAATTGTTAATATTAGTTTTCAAGTTTGATTGTATGCATAATCATTTAAATCAATGACACACATGATGGTTATTTTAAAACGCATAGCTTAGTTCACGTAATCAGTATTATGAGCCGAATGAATGCCTGGACATGTAGGATCCTATGGCAGTGCGGATTGTTGTCAGATTTCAGAGCGGTCACTTTCACTACCTCTCACTTCCCACTCCCCACTCCACTCCCCACTCCACTCCCCACTCCACTCCCCACTGTGGACGTCTGCAAACCACACTGTTGGTCAACCGCCAGTCATGAATATTTCAACGTTGATTCGGGTCGCTTCAAGTCAATGAAAGCATGTCGCCATAGACATACCGCCATAAATATTAGCTAGTTCAGAGCTTCACCGGTGTTTTGAATGAAATTTTGTGAAATAATTATTCAAGTTACAAAGATGCGCTGCCTTAATTTCTCATAAATCACGACTGTTCTACTAAATCACCCGGTGAATGTAGGCTAAATCAGAGAGCGTTTAACTTGTTATGTGCGTAAATGTCTGCTTAAAGCGATCCCACCTTTCATAAAGAATATGAAAGGAGGGGCCGCCTTGGTCTCTCCCTAAGGTTGAATATGACGACTCATGCTTGCAGGGACACCAAAGGATGACCTCGTCTATGTATGTGCAAGCATGTATGTATGTGTGTGTCCGCGTGTGTGTTGGTTGGCCCACTAATGGATTGGACAGCAGAGGGATCTAAATGGCTGGGCAAAAAGCCAATCTCTGTCCAAACAGCGGCACCATCCGTCCACCGTCCACCCCCTCTGCCGACAACAGCCCGCTGCAGGGCGGTAAAAACGGCCGCCGGGGACGGCAGGGCGTTCTTCTCACTGCGCTCACCGCTACTGTGAGGCCTCGCGTGTAGCGCGGTGGAGGGGCCGGGGTCGCCAACGCAGTGTTTGCCATGCAGGCGGGGCTGAGTCATGTCCAGTCAACCGAGCGGGGGAACTCAATGGAGCGGTCTTGGCCACATGACGTCGCGCTAACCTTCGGGACTGACCTTGATGGTTGGCTTCGAGGGATGACCTGGGGGGCAGGCCTCTGTGACTGACCTCTGATGCTGGCCTCATATTGACCTCTTGAGTTGACCTCGTTGGCTGACCTCGTGTCGAGTTCAAGGGGCCTATTTCGCAGGCTGATTTTGGACTGATCTCGTTGGCTGGCCTGTAAGCTAACCTCTCTATTGACCTCAGGGTACTGACCTCGGCCTCCCAGCCTGGGAACTGACCCGTCCTGGCCGGGTTCGGTTGCTCTCCGCCGCGCTGCATATGTATGCCGCCAGTACTCGACCGGCAATGCGTCTTGGTTCGTCCTGTAGCGCCTCGTATTTGGCCGGCCGGTACCGAGACCGACGGGCTGCTGACCAGCAATATTTTATCCTGGGCCGAGCCCCGAGAGGGTGATATTTTAATTGGACTGCTTCTCGGTATGGTCGCATTGAGGATTAGCAGCTCCAGGAAGGTGTTTTATCCAGGTGTTGATGTGCTAGTGGGGCTCTCCGAGCAATGATGCACTGCCGGATCGTTGACGGAAGAAGATTATCACGTTTTGGCGTGAGGTTAACATCGTTTTTCCCGGAACACTTATATCCCGGGACCTCCCAACATGGCTGTTTGCTCCGCGTTTTCACTGGTACAACTTTTGCTCTCCATAGGGACTGCAGTGAATTGATCACATATGAAACTGGACACAGCCACCAGTTTCGTAACCCGTTCTCCCAAACTCCTTTTGATTTCAAGCTGCTCATCTGAACACCGAAATTACGCATTGTAAAGGAAATTGAAATAGGGCTGTGAAGTGTGAGGCCAGGTCAGATATAAGCCTTGAATGTCAAACGAGCCGCAGCGTCCTCAGCAACAGGCGGCGAGATATGGCTCATTGTGTCGCCCTTCCTGACCTTGCAGGTCACGTACGGCGGGCCTGATGACCCAACGGAGCTCTTCGAGACTTCAACAGTTGCCAACGGGCTCGGACAGCTGGCAGCTGGGTTCTGGAGCTGTGACAGTTTCCACCGTGATTATTGGTGTTGCTCGGAGCTAGCTTTTCACCAGAAGTGAACTCAAAAGCTTTATTGAAGATCGCTGTGATCTATCAGGCAAGTGATGTGAGGGTCTTAGATTTGAGTCGGAAGGGTCAGGCTAGTTTGCTACTACATCGTTAGCTGTATCGTTGAGTTGAGGGCTTTGTACTTGAGGATCCGACGTGTCTAAAGCAACGTTCTTTTTGTCACTGCATCGTATCCTGTATCAGAACTTCAGGAACCTACAAAGAAGAGGTGAAAAATCCTTCGAGTCGGGGCGCCGAAAGATTGCGGTAATTACAGCTACAGCTTCAGCGAGCCGACATTCCCCAATGGTCCTCCCGTCGACATTCCCCACTGGTCCTCCCGTCGACATTCCCCACCAGTCCTCCCGCCGACCGTTTAGACCGCTCATTCTCTGGAGAGTGTTGGTCACACCTAGGGCCGCAGGTACCGCGGTCCGCTCTATTGTGGAGTCACAGGCGGCAGGGCGTTAATTACCCCTGAGTCGGCGGTTACCCCAGTTCACACATAGCCAGCGTGGGATGCAGCCGTAAATTCCTGGCATTCTGCGTTCAATGGCAGCGGGGCAGCGGTCGAGGCCTAGTTCGCACCCCGCCCAGTCTTTTCAGGGGACTTGACATTGGTTAACCGCAGTGGACGGCGACGAAGCTATACTGGTCGACGACGACGTTCGTGACGCTTGTGGTTTCTTTTCTGCGAGATAACCATCGCTCGCCTATTTCTGGGAAGTTAGCTGACGTACTTCGTTTAACATTATTTATCAGCTCAAAACGTATAAAAGGAATCCTCAGCAGGGCAGAATGGACCCATGTATCGTTTCAGCACCCCGTAAGTTACCTCAGATGGCTCTTATATTCCGTGGTAAGGAGATCAAGGCACGCATCCCTTTTCTGCATTGAACAGAAAATCCTACTGGCTTGAAACTCGTCTGTTTTCGACGATGTGCCTTCATCGCCGGGTTTCGTTTAAAGTTGCAGTGCTCTACGAAGTTACAGAAGTGATAAATTTGTCGGCTAGCCTGATTCTATTAAAAACGACAAGCGCACGCCACACTTACCGGTATTGGAACGATCATTGGGGGTAAATGATGACCAGTAATTGCACACTACCAGATTGGCACGCACTGTAAGCTGTTGTAGACTGCATTACGAATTACCACTACTAAGTACTTATGTCTTAATCTAGACGTTTGTATTTACATGCTGACAATATTCCGAGTGAACTAGCAGTTTGCGTTTCTACAGAGCCGGCGGTATGATGCGCGGACAGCGATCATCCGCGTGTAGGACCTGAGGGGGCCATTTACCAAACTGGCGCAATACCCAGCCCACTAGTTAGAAGGGTAATAGGCCGGTACGGCGCGGGAGGGAAAGACCGAGGAGTCTCAGTGAGGATCTGTTCACTGCTCATCTCTGGCGGTTGAGGTGCGAACTGCGTGGGATGAGACCGCCTATAGGGTGTGAGGTCACGACGGGAGCGGCATGGGGCGCTGACGTTTGACATGGGAGAGGATCGGCACGTGATGGAGGGGGTGGCGAAAACGACGTGGGCTTTATTCTCGCTTATTGTCGTTTAACCCGCGAGTTGCTGGGGGGGGGGCGTTAAACGCCCCCACTTTTTTCGCCGGGCCATAGCATAAAAACGGCGCGCCGCAGGCGCGCCAAATTTTGGGTACCTGTAGGGAATTGATCGAAGTTTATTGTGACAAGGTTTCAAAAAAATCGGTCGGAAAATTTTTGAGATATCGAGGTTTTAGTGACGTCATGATTTCTGAGTTTTCGACCAAAAACGGCATATGTTCAAAAAATCATATAAAATCACAGAATAGACATACAGACATGCCGTAAACGCCATTAGACTGCCAATACCATGATCAATTAAATGGCTATCTTCGATTATTGATTATCGCTCCGCATTTTCTATAATCTTGAACTGAATCTTGGCAATTTTTCGTGACTACTTCACGACCATGATACATGCATTTCTTAAATTGAACTTTTTGAGCCAAACACGTACACGTATGATAAAATGAATGTCACCATCGTGTTCTACGCCCCAAATTACTTATAAAACATGTGTCACAGGCTGCGAATATCAGTTTTGATTTTCGGGGATATGTGCCTACCCGGTTGACCTGACCTTGACCCTGACCTATGCTTGACTGACCCCTACATGGAGCTGACACTCTTGTAGGCCTTATATGATGGATTGTGCACCGTTTGGACAGAGCTTATGACGAGAGGCGCCCATTGCGAAGTCCTGAAGTCCATGCTACTGAAAGCCCGATTTCAGGTGTTTGACCTGACCTTGACCTGACCTGTGACCTCAAAATTCAACTTTAAAATACTCATCTGAAGCGTCTTGTCGCGCTCTTTCGTTTGCCGCCTCGTGCGTTTCGCTGCGCCTATTGGTTCTCGAGTTATCGGCTGGGGGCGTTTAACGCCCCCCCCCCAGCAAACGGTGGGTGGCGAAATACCCCAGCAACTGCCGGGTTAAAATGCGACAATGAACAGCGCTGCTTACTAATCACTTCGTTTATAC